GAAATTATATAATGAAACATTCAACATCAAACAAACCACTCAAATCGAATAGATTTTTCATTTTTAAATTCGTCCAATTGAAGCCATGGATTAAGAACACCATTTTTTGTTTGTTCAAACGTTTTTTTCCGGTCCCGACTAAAGATCAGATATGGTTTATTCTCCGAAAATTGATCCTGATACATGCACATCTCATTAGCGCCTTTCTTGGGGTTTTGGATGTATATATGAGGCGTATTTGATGATTTCGGTCAATCAACAACGAGAAAAAGTCGTATTTTATTAGGTTGAGTCATGTTGGGAATGGGTTAAAATAGGAAATGTGGTGATTGAATTTTGGTTCTTAATTTTTCTGATTCACTTTATTGTCAATGTTCATTCGAGCTCATTCATATCACGCTGTGATCAAAATCCATTTTTAAAATGCGACAAATGAAGAAGATAAAAGGGAATTAACAGAAGAGGCTCAATTAATCAGCAATAAAAACGGATATAAAGTGAAAACAAAAAGTAAAAACGACAATAACACTCCTCTATATATGTAACAATGAAAAAGTGGGTACGTGAATCGTTTCTGATTGATTGACCAGCCGTTTTCGTTTGGCCTCAGATGTCATGCATATTATGTGGACTACGTAATGTATACACATTGTTTTTAAAATTAACCGATCGCTTCGATAACAAAAATTATCCCATATATCCGGCTAGCGCGGTTAATTTCATATCCATTAGATCAGTGAGAACGTAGATACATATAAATACGTCATCGAAATGTTCATTTATTCAAAATGTGACTTGATCAGTGTACTTGAATGGAAAACAAAGTTTTTATTTGACGGTGTCGGGCTTTTTTCTCTTTCTTCGCAATATTGCTTCAAACGCAACAAACCGAATCTATGTCCAAATTACCAGAATAAAGTTCAAGAATCTGTTACTAATTTTATTTAATTGCGTTAATGCCAACAAGAAATTGAAGAGAGCGAAAGAAAAAAACGTTAAACAAAGAACATTTGTACGCTGCACTTAGCCGCGGTTTATTGCTTCGTGTTGCATGTCGATGACGTGAATTAAAAATTAAATTGCTTCGTAATGATGACATGAAGAAGTTCAGTAGTTTACTTTCTCATTTCTTTCACGTAAATGTTTTTTGTACACCAAAAATGCTATTCCACCATTAGATTTACGCTCTCCTTGTCTCTCATTCTCTTCTCTATCTTCCTCATCGTGTTCCATAGCTCCATTTTCTCTTTGATACTATTTTGAAAGAGTTTCGAAAATGAAATACACAAAAAAGCGCCGAATTCTACCTTCGTCGTTTCGAAAATTACGTAACATTATAATTTTTTATTCAAACATTATGGCGTAAATGTAAACAAAATCTGTTTGTTCTTTATTATAGTTTATGTATTTCGTTCAGTAGATTTCCTCACGCTTGATTGTTTTCGTTCGGTCAGTGTTTCATTTTTTATTGTTTGTCTTCTGTATGCGCGCTGGCATTGGTGTGAACACACAATTATCGATTTCCTGCCAATTTACTTTATGAATCTGAGTCACAACAAAAATTAAATCAAACATCGCCCGACCATATAAATCAGTGAGCTACACTCACAGTTTTCGTTGTTTCAATGCTATAACAGAGATAAGCGCTGATTGCATACAAAAACAAACTTGATGTTATCGGATCAATTTCTCGAAAACAACGTCACTCATATAAATCCGAAATTGCATTTTCATGATGTTACTTTGTGCAAACCGCAATCTTTTTGCGCAAACATCGAACGCTAATGTGACTTAATTGTTCTCGGTTCTCCATCTTCCACCAAAAAAAAAAAACCAACAAGAATAACATTCAATGATCGAAAATGTAAACACATCAAAGAAGACTAATGAATAGCGTTTCATTCAACGAAACATACGAAATGAATAACTAAAAAAACGCACCGAGTGAGACAATAAAAAAAAAAGAACGAGCGAATGAAAAATTCATAATAAATAATCATGATGTGTACTGTGTGTTGTTTCAATATTATTTTATCGCACACATAGTGTTCGGCCGATGATTTGGATTCGAAATGGACTGGTATGGATCTTGATAAACTCGTTTATAATTTATAGTCAAATAACTATATCGATGCATCAGTGCAATAGCAAATGATTGCAATTTATTTGAATTGAAGAGATTTGGTCGCTGTTGCTGGCCGTGTACTCACAATCAATGTAAATGCCGTCAATCACTTATTCTGCAACGCAAACCATTCAATTCAAATATTGACTTTCAGTTATACATTCCATTTGCTGACTCAATTCTCACCTACGATCTTCTTTTTCGATCTCTCTCTCTCTCTCTCTCTCTCTATCTCTCTCTCTCTCTCTCCTTTCGTTCGTTCGTCCGCCGCATAGTCAAAGACTTCCTTTTTATTTCTCAATTATTATATGTACAACATACTAGCGTACAAAAGATAGACTTCCATATTTGAAATGAAATGAAGAAAAAAAAATGAATTTTGCAGCTCGATCGAGTAGGCACATTTAATGCCATTTTTATAGTGTTCCCTCCATTGAGTTTAACACATTTCTTTTATTTTTCTTTTTTATTTATTTTTTGCAAAATTGTCGTTTTACCATAATAACAACAATGGGAGTTGATTCATAAATAACAACCGAGCTGTAATAAATAAATGTGGAATGTTTGCACAAGGAAGGCTCTCTTGTTCGTGCCGCCGTCACCGTCATACGTTTGAGAGCTGAGCACACGTTCCATTGAGAATTATATACACGCAGAGAGACAGAGAGAGACAATCGAGAATGAGAAAAAAGGGATCCACAGATCATTGCACACTGTCGTCGATGATCGTTAGTCCAGATGAACGACAGACTGAATAGCGAGGAAAAAACATCTGCTGAAAAAGACGACCGATCGATGACTAACCGTCGAGTTGCCGCTTTTTTAATATTAAACGCGAAGCTCTTAATAAACAATCGAATATGCAGAATGTAAAAAAATTGCATTTTTTAGAATAAATCAAACGATCAAAACCGTCAATCAAGTTCAATAATGAAAAAAAAACACATGATATCGAAAATGCAGCAAAAAAAACCTGGTTTCAAAATGCAATTTTGATTGAAACGGATTGGAATAATGTTCAAATTAAAATTCTAAGCCGACCATCGAAAATGTAATTTCTAAATCAATGCGCGCAGACACATTTATCAAAAGAATAAAACGATGCAACTTTTTGTGGCATCTGCATTGAATTGCTAACCATACGGTGTGTGTGTGCGCGAGCGCTTGCAAAGAATGAAGAAGTATGCAGAAATCAAAAGATGCATGTGTGGTGTGCCTTTTTAAAAATAAAAAATAAAACTCACTTCTGCATCAGTTCTTGTTTTGTTATCCTGTCCTTTTATTGCTATTCATGAGACACGTTGATATTAACAAGCCACAATGAGAATGGGGAAGAACAATGCAGCGAAACCAAATGGAATATAATGCTTATCTTCAGGCAATTGCGAAATGAATGAATTTCGTTACACACACGTGAGCCTGAACCTAATTTGGTGTTGTGTGTATGCAACTGAATGTCGCTGTGAGTCGAAATTCTTTTTCTCGTTATTGCAATGCTTGTATCTTTGTGTGTCGTCTGCTTTAATTCCTCCTCATTTTTATTCATCGGTAGTTCGATTTTCTCCTTTGAAACTTTGCCGTTTTTTTGTCTCACTTCGTTTTGCTTATTATTCTTCTTCGACAGTGTGGTTCTTCGTTGAAATGTTGCTACATTTTGTGGCATTTTCTGTTTTCTCGTTTGCATTGCTGCTGTTATTGTCAATCTCTTTATTGATGACTTTAATTTCGTTTTGCAAGCATATTTCCGTTGTGCGTGCGCGCGTGCGTTCGCATTGAATTCATCTCATTCAATGATGTAGCTATCTGTCGTTGATGTATAAATTATTTTTCTAGATGTTTTACTCGGTGCTTTCCGTTTTTTTTTGTTACCACATACATTTTATTTATAGTTCAATATTTTTGCTTTCATGTATCGTCCAATATTTGCGTATATTCCGATTCATATCTTGACAACAACCATGATGTGATCGAAGAAAAATTTTCTATCATAAATAAACAAGCACCAAGGCAGTAAAAAAAACCAAGAAATATTTTGTCGTTTGACAGAAGGTGTCTTTCTATCTCTAATAAATGATAAGCCAGTGCATAGCGGCAACAACGGCGCACAGTATGACACTCTGTTCCGTTTCACTTGGCACGGGCGACACAGATTGGTATGAGAACAGAAAGGGAAAAAAAGCATTTTGGCACGGAAGTTTCGGTGCACCGATTGTTGCCAGTAGTTACAGTTTTGATCCTTTTCATTCACGACTCGTTCGTCATCTGTCAACCCACTTTGTGCTCTGTGTACTGCAATCGTTTCATTAAATTCATTCTCGTATTCTTTTATTTTGTCTCTCGGGTAGGTGATTCTTTCTCTATCTCTTTTTTTTTGTTATTTTTTGTCTGTCGTCAACTGGAGCATGCCATTATTGAAAATGCCACGTGTCGGAATTGCCAAATAATGAAAGTTATACCGTACCATATGAATAAAACGGAATTAAACAAAATCAATGATTGCAGCTAATGATTACCGTATTGCTTACGGCATTCGGCTTTTTCTCTCTCGTGGGTGATTTATTTCATCATACATTCAATCATTCCATTCATCATAAATGCGACGTATTATTGGGTCGAATGCATTTTTTTTCAGCATGTGTACCCACCTTTATTTCTATGCAGCAATGGTATCAACAGAAAAAAAATGCTCGCAAATCAAACACAATTTTGATGAGGTGCGTGCATGAAAACAGATTTAAATTTATTTACTAATAATAAAAATGTGCTCGTTCACTTTCTCGCAAACATTGAACATTGGAAAATAGTGCAAGGTAAATTGATTGTAACTATATTTATACATAAATCAATCAAATATAATAAATTTTAATTAACATTTTTATCCATGCGAAATGTGATTTCTTTTATTGACCATTTTAATAGCGCCATCAATCACGGCATTTCTTCCCATCGATTTGGCCGAATCATCGATCACAGTAATTTGTCCCAATTTTATCAAATAATGAATTGTCAAACTGGCGAACCCAGCGATGGGTATTAGAGTGAAACAGAGCCACTCTATGATTTTGACTAATCGTTGACTCCTTAAAAGACAAAAGAAATCCCTTCAAATACAAATACTAATTACACGTCGTTTATGACTTACGAGATGAGAGTTAAATGCAATAAAGCTACATATATTCCCGGCAATTTAAAACGTTCTTCAATCCATATAAACGGGAATATCATGCTCGTCAAATTTTTCATGACATCTACCAATGGTATTGGAACCATTTCGAAGTTGAGCTGCAAACGTTTTGCACCCAGCAATGGAATACCAGTTTTCTGAAAGAAACTCGCATTGATTAATATTCGAACTTTACACACTTTAACATCGAATAATCTCACTAAATCAATGCTGGCGAAAATTTCGTGGTCTTTTCGATTCGGCTTTAATCCGGATTGAACATGTTCCAACAACGATGGATGTGTATCCAAAAAGTGTGGCAAAGTAGCGATTATGGGAACGCCAATGCAATTAAATAAGTCCAATGTTCCTGGTATCGGACAACTGCCATTTTCACGGCAATATGCTTCGTTTGTTGCAAATCGGTCGAGGTTTTGGCCAAAAGTTCGCAAAGGAGCACCACGATTGTAGGTTTTTTGTTTATATTGTAAGTTTAATGATATGCATAATGCACGTTCAAATGCCCAAATTTCATCATCAATGCTTCAAAAGGTGGAAAAAAGTAAAATAGAAGAAAAATATCATCAAAACAATATATGTTTTTCGAGACTTCCCGAATCAATGGCTTTAGATATTTTTTTTACATGTGTTATTTACTCCTTGATCTTAGCTTTAAAAATGATATAAAGTGCAACAAAAAGATATGAATTCATTGGCCAAAATCGACCAGAGTTGTTTCAACTTTCGCATCGAGAAGCACATCGACATACCTTCGAAATGGTGGAATAAAATAACCGTCCGTCCCTTTGAATTGATTTTCCTCATCTGAATACCAAGCATCCACTTCTAAATTGCCATCAACCTCAAGTACACGACCAACATCCGACATGATTTTCTTACCGCGTGATACTTTGAAAACGCCATTTGAAGAGTGGTTAAACTATAAGTAAATCGTGATTGTAATAAGTAGTAAAATTTTAAGTTGAACATGCTTACGGCACCAAACAAGGAGAATTTAAATTGGCTTCCATCGTCAGTAAGTGGTTGAATTGATGGATTATCACCCGTTTCAAAAACCGAACAAATTGCTTTTACTTTGAAATTATTCGAAGAACAATCGATCGGAATTCCTAATTAACTCGAAAAATGAATCCATCTTTAGAAATGGCATTTTGTTTTTCAAAGAATTTTATCCAACATTATTTTTATTTATTCATAAAAATTGAAATACCATCAAATAGTAAATCCATTGCTCTGCCCGTCCAAAATGGAGATGTTGGTTCGAACATTATTTGTATGACATCCGAAATCATTGGAAGCAATGCTTTTCGATCTACATTCACAGCCAGCGCAAGTGAGTTTAAAACTAATTTTTCATATGAAACATTTTCAATTAGATTCTCGATTGGAAATTAAGTTCATGAACTTGATATCGATAGTAAAGAATACCTGGGTGTACTGTTGTGATAATTTCTTCTCCGGTTAATCCTTTGCTTAATTTTGGCTTGAAAATCCATGTTTTTCGCATTGTGAACTGAAGTGTATCATTTTCCTCATCGTCAATCGTATCATGTTTTAAAAGGTATTCGCTATGTGAAAGAAGACAAACAAAGTCGATTGAATTTCCATTTAAAACCACAATGGTGACACTCACTGAAAAACATAAGGTCCAATATCTTTGAAGTGTGGTTTTCCACCGTTTTGAACTTCCTCCGGATTTTGTAAGTCAAAAATGTGAATGTGAAACTCCAATGGGAATGGTAATTTCGTGTACATTCTTCGAGATATTGTTTTTGGATTGATTGGCATTTGCTAAAATGAAATGTCACAATTTTACTTAAATTATTTTTATTTAATTATTGCTTTGTTACCCAATGTAAGATTCCATTAATAAGAGTATCGTAAAAATATATCGAAATGAACATTCCACAAAACCAAATGACTCCAATATTTTTTGATATTCGGAGGTAGTCTCTATTTTTTACTTGTAACGTGTACATTTTAATATAGAATTTGTGAGTTTGATGAAAATTCGATTTTTTTCACAAATTCTAGTTTCGAGTATGTTTATTTAAAAACCATTTAGCTTAATGTTAATTTATTTTGTCGAACACCAGTTTTTATACCATTTTGATTTTTTAAAATTTAATGAATCACATATTTAATGGCTTGAAACGATTTTTTCTACAAAACTGATTTGTTCATGAAAACAACTGGATAATAGTTATTTTTATTCTCACAAAAAAACGAACGGCAAAACAGTATCCAATTAAAAATGAAACGAACTATATATGTATAAAATATGAAAGAATTCAATGTGTAAAATCAATTTTTCATCTTGAATTTATAAGGAAACAAAATCACTCCTCTATTTTGATTTTCCCTACAGCAAAATTAATTTTTAATGATTGAAACGGGTTCGGTATAACATTGCATTTTATTGTTATCTAATTTTTAAGTTGAAAATGTAGTTCGAATCGACATACGTTTTTTCAATTTTATTTTTCATTATTACTTCAAGTATCTGTGAAATCACTTTTACATAACACAAGGCATCGATTTTTGTTTTATTTTTATTGAGGGTTACAGGCGACAAAACTGAAAATTGAAATCGACACGTGTCATTTTAATTACAAGTTTTTTGTTTCTTTGTATTGAATATCTGGCTTTTGACTTGTCGGGACATGGATGAGACATCAAAAACAGTTGAATTAATCAACTTGGCGAGTGCTTCGATTGTGTTTGTGCTGCAATGCCTTCAGGTTTTCGAATTTTTTTTTTGATGTACATATAATAACGATAAGGCACAAGTGAACGAACGAGTTGTACGCTTAAGGCACACCATATACGTTAATTATTTTCCCAAACACAACGCGTGTGTTTCTTTGTATTTCTGTTTCGCGTGCTGACAACATCGATAAGCTACCAAACCGTAAAGCGTATATATGCACAAAAGATGAAAAACCGAATGCCAATGCAAAATATGAACATCATGATATAGAGCATTCTGTCTGCTCATCGTAACTTTTATAAGACTTGGGGCAACTACCATAATTGGGTTGCTTTTCAACGTAAACACAGGCGCATATCCACCGAAATTCATTTGTGTTTTTGTCTCGTACTGATAAGTTAAGATACATCGTTTCAGTTTGGTAATGAATTTGAATCAAATGGAATAAATCAAATATTGATTTAACTTTTTCATTGTCACTTTGGAATGAAGTTGGAAAGTTGGGCGGCAACTTGAAATATTTAGTAATTTCATTGAAGAAATGAATGTGTGGTTGGTGAAGAGATCAAAAATATCATTCATTCTAAAAGTTTGGCGATAGAATTTAAGGACTAGTAGAATTATAACGAAAATTTTATGTGAAATACCGAAAGAAAGAGAGGATGTTCGAATTACTATGCATATACGAAGTTACTTGAACGAAAAAAAAACTTAATTAAACAATGGGTATTTGTTCTTTAATAAACTTTTATTCCGAAGGAAAGACTTGTGCGTTCCTGTCTTTGTTGTTATTTATTCAACAGATTATTTCATTTCCGATTTCGATCTAAAAGTGCATCCAGTCGATTACCCTACCATCACCGTTCAAATGCATGATTATACACCGTGTTTTGTGTATCTGTTCGATACATGTAATTTATAATTTTGAAAATGCAACCCAGAAACTTGCCTCATATTCATTAAGTCAAATGCATTTGGAAAAACTCACGTTTTTGTCTATCGCTTATCGTTATTAAAAATAGATTAGCCCACACCCAACAAGCTAGTAAAAAAAAAATCAAATCGCCTGGATATAATTTTATTTATATTTCCGATATCGAAATGCAATGTTGTGAAACGGAAAATCATCATTTCATGTGCTCATCGAAATGTTTAAAATGCTTCTGTAATCACTGCCCATCCATTCTCATTAAATTTTCCCCTTTGTATCGAGTTATGTTCACACCAGAAACACCCAACGAATTGTCCCGCACATAAACATTTTCCTAACACTTCAAGTGCAGCAGCGCACCGCTTTCGTGCTTCAAATAGAATGTAAATATGAAATAATTGTGTTTTCGAGATAATTTCGTGTTTGAATTGTGAAGAGTGATGGGTAACATTGGTGCGTGTTACACTTTGCCTGCCAACATTCGTTTAACTAATCGAAAAGTCAGTTTCATGTCATGCATCCCCATGTTGAGTATATTGATAGTACACACCAATCTCAGTACACACAGCAACCATCATATTGAAACATTTCGTTTACACTTTACACATCGATTACAAGTATTAAACTTGAAAACTATGTTTACTCAACATTTTCAATTGAAGGATTTTGCTTTATTGATTAACCGATACATCAACTACGATTTTTGTTGCATCGTATTTGCTCGATTTGGGATTGTCGTTAAAGTCAAATAATTGACGTTTTATTTAATCTTTCGATGAACATGTGATTTGTTACCAAGAGCGAAAATTTGTCATCTAAACCATGTATGATTTACGATTTATATCAACACAGTTTACTAATACATCGTCGCAAAATTGGATTCGATTGGAAAAAAATATCTCCTTTCTAGCTTTTTCAAAGTACATTTGTGCATTGGTACACCGAATAAACAACAAATCGGATTTTCAGATTTTATGTTGGAAAGAACGTTTAAATATAGCTCATAATTGCTATTACGTTCCATATTTTCTGTTTGTTTCTCGATAAAAAACATTCGTCGAAATATTTACACGAAAATTGTTGTAAACGCTAATAAATCTTGTATTCTATTTTGGTTGAGTGTGTATGTTGAATAATTAAAGTGCTAAAATTATTTGACAGATTTTGGTTGTATACACGAATTATATGGCTTCGAAATTTGCATATTTTGTTGAATCATTTAAATTCAACAATTACTCTATGTTAAACTAACCAATTAAATCTGTTTGTATCGAAATCAATCGCATTCAGTGATCTAGTTATTACATCTGAATTTTAGGTATAATTGAAGTCCGAAATGTCTATAGGGATGCATAAGCGTCTGGTAAAATAAAATCGCAATATTTTGTGATTTAGCGCTAATAAATTGGTTATTCAATATTTGTTCTATGTGTTAAGCAACCGATTCGAGTGGGAAAGATTCCAATATTGAAATGGCCTTTTCTTCGAATGCAAATGAGGCACATTCAATGATCCAAATTGTGTAGAAAATCATGCAAATCAGCATTGAGTAAAGTTTACCTCCTTAGTCTTGTTTCAATTATGAGCTAGCAAAGTGTGATGAGCATACAATGGGACGGGTTAAACTTATGCAAAAGATATTTTCAATTGCCGGCAATGATCAACGATGAGTGGAGCACATTCCGTCTATACATATATACAAATATTTGTTGGTCGCCACTTTAAGTTGCATCGAAACATTCTAAGAAATCCGTATACATATGAGTCGAACGGTGCGCTAGTCGATTATAATTCTATTTATAATTGCCGTAGGTTAAATCTTATCGGCAACCACATATATGCTGCATGAACCAAGGATCCGGATCTATATCGAAATTATTTAAATTGTATTTCATTGGCAATGATACTCATCAGTCAGTCAAATTACTCTCCCCTTCACATACCCACACATACATTGTAGATGCTTACAGCAAAAGTATTATAATTCTATACACGTTTTTTGGATGGGCTTAAGTCAAAATGGCAAAAGCCGTGTCTAAAGCTAATTGATTTCGATTTTGTTAAAACAGTAAACAACCGGGCATTTTGCATAATACTAATAATACATATCTATATATCGTATATTCCGAAACAATTGTGTATAAGAAATGAGAAGATTGAACGTTGCTAACATGGATTAAATGCTTTATTATTCTCACAAGTGTTTGAACAAACTAACACTAGATACAATTATCGACTGAATTACGCAATCAAACTTCAAACATTTACTTTTCTGCATTGTTGGCACAAATTCACAGTGGAATCTACTTTGATAGTACCGATGAGAAACAGAAATCTATGTATATATATTCACAGCATGTGTGTATCACTTTCGACACATGAATTCGACTTTTGTATTGGCTTAATGTGATTTGTGTGTTATCGATGAAATATTCAGCAGAGCAAAAATGAAAATTGAAATCAAGCCCTTTTCGAAAATAACTTTTAGTATTTAAAAAAAAAAAAACAAACAATCGAGTTTTGTTTGTTATCTATTTTCGGTACATGGAGTTTTCAGACGCACGGAAAAAGTTGAAGAAGAGAGAGTTATGATTTCAAGTGACTGATAAAATTTAAATGTATTCCGGCGACATGTAGCAGATGTAATTTTATACACATTTCAATATGATGGTCATCTGTTTGTTCGATAAGGGAAAAAAAGAAAAAGGAAAGAGGAAAAACCCGAAAATGTTTTGCAAATAATAAACAAACAAGCAACAACTAGCAACTGCTTGCCGATAAGCTATCCATAGTCAAGAATCTTCTTTAAAGAGATAATATTACAGTTTGCTTTCTCTCTCTCTCTCTCTCTCTCTCTCTTTCATTCAAGAATTACAATGATTCAACAAACATTGAACACATTTTTGTGAGATGAAACGAGAGAAGAAGCAAACGAGATCGAAAAAAAACCTACAAAAATGTGGCACAGAATTAGAATCGCACCATATGCGACAAACAAAAACATATAACCGTTGTCATCGTTTGCTTTGAGTGTCCGAAATTTTCCGAATCAGTACGTTTTACGTCTGACGTATTTTTTTTCGCCATATTTTTATTCGATCGTTTTGTTTTCCTTCATACTGTGATTTTGCAAGCAAAATATACGAACGCCAAACAAAGACTAAAATGAAAATTGTGGTATACACAAATACAATTTAGCTAATGCTGCTTTTATCAGTGCCAGAAATCTTTTAAATACATAGATTTTTAAATAGACAAGAAAAATGAATGCCAAATATAAAATCGGATTACCGCTGAAACGTTGTACCGATGGAGCAAAACGACAAATCAATGATTTT